GCTCCGTAAAGGTACGTGTTGTGATGTCTGTGTTTGCTTCCCCTGTCGCAAGTTCGGATCGCTCAGTGATGATACTATACCTAAATAATCTGTGGAGTCTCAGCTTTAATCGGCTATATTGTATGTGCAGCTACGATAAGTAATAAGGGTATTTTTATCTTGAATTGTGTGCCGCAGTGCGTTGGTTGGCTCAGGGGTCATTTAGACGCTTCTTATGAGACTTGTGTTTTGTTTTGGTAAATATGGTTCATATCTTCAGTTAGCTGAGATTCTTCCCGTTAATCTGGTGCTACACATTAATAGTTTCATAAATGTTAAGAAGCCCTGAGACATTATCTCGAAAACAAAACGGTGGGAGGGGTCCAATGGGGGGACCGCCGTGCTTAAGAGGTTAAGCTTTGTAGATTTTTCATCTATCATTTTCAGCCAAGCAGCCAGAGGCACATGCAAGGATGTTTGAAAAACCCCACATGTAGAGTTGAAATACTCCAAAACAAAATCATCAGAGGGTTCCTTCCCCCGCGTCACCAAACGGCTTGAGCGGTAATACCATCTACCAGACGGCCCGCTTTTAGTTTCTCAGACGGTGCTTGTCAGGATTCTTTTCACTTCTAATAATAATAATAATCCTTATATTTATTATAGCGCTTTATCAATGACTCAAAGCGCTATACAGATACACATTACACATACAGGTAATGGTCTACTGTGGACAATACCCACAGGAGCAAGTTCAGGTGAAGTGTCTTGCCCAAGGACACAACGGCTTTACAGACGCAGCGGCGGCGGGTTTGACCCCCTTGATCTGATAATCATTGCACAGTGCACTGCGCCACACCGGCCATCTTCACACCTCAAAGTCATCGAGGTGCTTTTACAAGTACACATTCATATCATACATGTACTGTGGACAATACCCACAGGAGCAAATTCGGGTGAAGTGTCTTGCCCAAGGACACAACGGCCTGACGCAGTGGCGGCGGGAGCGGGTTTCGAACTGGAGTTCCCCAACGCCCCCTTGATCTGATGATCAGATGCACAGACCACTGCGCCACCCGTCCCACTTCTGGCAGGGGGTGAATATTTTCTCCCTCTTCTTCCACATTGAGGGGTTGTGGTGAAAACTCTTCTTTGATCTCGACCACAGTTTGCGTTTCTTTGCTTTTTGATGCAGGTTTCATGGACATTGCACGTACGATGCCTGAACGACTCCACAATGCATCCATGATGGTTTCTTTATGCACTGCTTTTTCTGATACAACGGTTGCACGGAGATCTCTGGAGGACACCAGAGTTAACACAGCCCAATCTGTTGAGGTCAACGTCGCTGCGGGGTCCATAAGTCCATAAGTTTCTCCATTCTTCAGATTGTAGAAATGTAGTTCATTCGCCATATAGTTGAACACATAACCCCAAACATCTCCATTTTCCAGACTCCATTTTTCATGAAGAGCCTCAGACGGAGGGGTTTGAACCCGGCACAGATACTGCATCCGTTTCTTGACTGGCGCTCCCGACGGATGGCGGTAAGTTGTCACAGGCGTCTCGCTGATTAAACCCATATCGATGCGTCTCTTTGCCATTTTCTTTTTTGAAAGTTTAGGTGACTTGGTGATTGGAAATGACTGGCTTTTTATCTAGTTTGCACGGATTTCTTTTTTACCTAACTCCACCCCCACCTCTATCTTCTGGCATCACAGCAAAAGGAAGGGGGACGGGGTGGGAGGAGGACGGGGTGCGAGACAGTCTCACACAAATTCAAAGAGACTGCCTTAATACTAGTTACAAACACTGATCAAAGGACAGACTTCAGAGGCTAATTAGATTGACATCAAAGGCTTATAACACGCCGGTGTGATATCACACCGGCATGTTATAACACCTCACCCACCTTACATCAAAGGACAGACATCAAAGGGTAATTAGATTAGACAACAAAGTAGTCTACTACAGAGGGGGAATATCACACCTGTACGCTATAACACCTCAACCCTCACATCAAAGCACAGACATCAAAGGCTAATTAGATTGACATCAAAGGCTTATAACACGCCGGTGTGATATCACACCTACATGTTACAACACCTCAACCCCCTCACATCAAAGGATATCACACCTATCTGTGATATCACACCTACACGTGATAACACCTCGAACAAAGGGGCTCATTAGCATATCAAAGGGGCTCATTAGCATAAGTAGTAGTACGTGTGACCTGTCACACCACCTGTCCCTTTTTATGCATACTAATGTGATGGAAAGGGGATCAGTACTACTACTGATAGGAGTCGAGGAGGGGAGTCGAGGAGGGGAGTTAGTGAAATGAGAAAGGGCCACTGATTCCATAACAACATTCAAAACCCACCTGTTCAAACTGGCATTCTCATCATAACCTGTACCCTGTGTCCTTCTGTGTCCTCTTGTGTCCTTCTGTGTCCTCTTGTGTCCTTCTGTAGTCCACTTCCTGTTGTTTGTCTTGTTTTACCCCGGCTGACATTTCATTAAATCCACTGTTTTAACTTTCCCTATATTACCCTTGTAGTGTGTGAGGTGTCCTTGGGCCCTGTAAGGTGTCATTGGGCCCTGTAAGGTGTCCTTGGGCCCTGTAAGGTGTCCTTGGGCCCTGTAAGGTGTGTAAGGTGTCCTTGGGCCCTGTAAGGTGTCCTTGGGCACTGTAAGGTGTGTAAGGTGTCCTTGGGCCCTGTAAGGTGTCCTTGGGCCCTGTAAGGTGTCCTTGGGCCCTGTAAGGTGTGTAAGGTGTCCTTGGGCCCTGTAAGGTGTGTAAGGTGTCTTTGGGCCCTGTAAGGTGTGTAAGGTGTCCTTGGGCCCTGTAAGGTGTCCTTGGGCCCTGTAAGATGTGTAAGGTGTCATTGGGCCCTGTAAGGTGTGTAAGGTGTCCTTGGGCCCTGTAAGGTGTGTAAGGTGTCCTTGGGCCCTGTAAGGTGTGTAAGGTGTCCTTGGGCCCTGTAAGGTGTCCTTGGGCCCTGTAAGGTGTGTAAGGTGTCCTTGGGCCCCGTAAGGTGTCCTTGGGCCCCGTAAGGTGTCCTTGCTATGAAAGGCTCCAGTTCTTCAGTAAAACCCTTAAATCACATTGAAATAACAAAGAGTCAGAGATCCAGATGTAATGATTTTATTTCACAGCAGTTTAACGATCCTTCATTGTTTCTGTTCCTTCACGTTGTTTCACTTTCATCAGACGCTTTATTCTGAAATTCTGTTTCCTCCCCCTCTACGTTTGTTTGTTTGTTTGTTGATGTTCAGCACTTTGGAAACATCTCCTCTATAATGTAATATTTATAAAACACATTTTTTTAAATACTATAAATGTGTTTTCTCTCAATTTCCTTAAAACTTCAATTAAATGTTTGATGTACTTTAAAGGTCCCATGTCATGTTCCATTGTTGAGGTCTACTAGAATAGATTCACATTGTTCAATGTTCCAAACTCACATTGGTTTCTCATACAGCATCTCTGTATAGTATGTGTATTCACTCTCTGTCCTACACGGCTTGTTGGAGCTCCTGCCCCCCCCCCTCCCTCCCCTCTGATTGGTCGGGACGTTGCGAGGCTCGCTGCTGCTCGCCGCTGCGAGCTGCTGCGAGGAGCAGACAGGTTTCCGGGTCGGCGATACAGCGAGAACAAGCTAAACTCATCCTGAGCACACACAAACACTCACAGCCGAAGTAAAAACAATAAGTGTGGCTTGATATTGAGTAAGAAAAAGGTTTATAGCGCTGTGAGAATAGGTCTGCAGAGAGCATTTCTCCACCATCCCAACTCGTCTATTACCAGCGTTCAGGGAGCTCTATGCAAGTCAATGGGGACTCCCTGTTAGTTAGCCAAGGGATCCTGGTGTGTGAGGGGCTCCGCGGATTGGTCCATTTGGGCCAATCCGGTCATTTGTTGTTGATCTGGGTGTTCACGCGTCACAGAACCCAGGAAGCAAACAATGGAAAAAGAGAAATGTCCAACGAGGCGTTCTGGGGCAGCATAGACAGGTCTTTCTGTGTTAGAGTTTTACTCTCTACAGGGTGTACTTTGAGGGTTTGTGACTCTGCAGACCGTTTACATGCAGACAAACCTTCATAACACACAAGGAGATGGGTAATAACCGGAAAAGCATGACATGGGACCTTTAAATAAAGAGGTCTTCTGAGTTTCAGTCGACTTTTTGCTTTTAACGAGGATTTAAATCAAATTTCAGAATAAAAGCTCCCTGATTAAAACACGACACTTAAACATCAAACATTAAACACTAACCACTAAACACTAACCACTAACCACTAAACACTAAACACTAAACACTAACCACTAAACACTAATTTAATTTAATTGGGAATTTTGGCATTTTGAGATTTAAGTGGCAATTCTGAGATTTAAGTGGAAATTCTGAGATTAGGGTGGGAATTCTGAGACTGAAGTGGGAATTCTGAGATTAGGTGAGAATTCTGAGATTTAAGTGGGAATTCTGAGATTAGGTGAGAATTCTGAGATTTAAATGGGAATTCTGAGATTTAAGTGGGAATTCTGAGATTTAAATGGGAATTCTGAGATTTAAGTGGGAATTCTGAGATTAGGTGAGAATTCTGAGATTTAAGTGGGAATTCTGAGATTTAAATGCGAATTCTGAGATTTAAGTGGGAATTCTGTGATTTAAGTGGGAATTCTGAGATTGAAGTGGGAATTCTGAGATTGAAGTGGGAATTCTGAGATTAAGGTGGGAATTCTGAGATTGAAGTGGGAATTCTGAGATTAGGTGAGAATTCTGAGATTTAAGTGGGAATTCTGAGAATAGGTGAGAATTCTGAGATTTAAGTGGGAATTCTGTGATTTAAGTGGGAATTCTGAGATTGAAGTGGGAATTCTGAGATTGAAGTGGGAATTCTGAGATTAAGGTGGGAATTCTGAGATTGAAGTGGGAATTCTGAGATTAGGTGAGAATTCTGAGATTTAAGTGGGAATTCTGAGAATAGGTGAGAATTTGGGAATCTTTTTTAAATTTGGACATTTGGAGATTTAAGTGGGAATTCTGAGATGTAAGTGGGAATTCTGAGATAAAGGTGGGAATTCTGAGATTTAAATGGGAATTATGATAATAGGTGAGAATTTGGGAATTTTTTTTAATTGGGAATTTGGACATTTGGAGATTTAAGTGGGAATTCTGAGACAAGAGTGGGAATTTCTCATGAATATATTTTCTGGGAATATTTTCAATTTTTTTTTCTAATTTCAATAAATATTATTTTCAGTTTTAAACATCTGAAGAAAATGTAATAAAAGTTATTTTAAATGAAAGACCTCTGTTTTCACAGATTTCTCACAGAAGCTGTCTTTTTTCACAGATTTAAAAAACGACAGAAACGTTTTTAGATTGACAGTTTGTTTTTTAAGAGATTAAACATCGACATGCAGGAACCACGACAAGTTTTCTTACATTACATAAAGTTTTCTTCTTACATTTCTTACATTTTACACCGAACGCTGAATTCTGTTTACTTTCAATATTAAAACTCTTCATCAGAAGCTCAAAGGATAATTGACTGATTTATTATCAGAGCTTTATTCTGAAAAACTTCACGACTATAATCTCAAAGAATATTACCATCATTCTCTTTTAATAAGATTTTCTATTTTTAATTCAATTATCTTCTTTTAGTTCCTTTTGAGTTCCTTTGAGTTCATGAATGTTTTTAATTCTGAAGATTTTACTTTTATTCTGTATATTTTGTGATTTTGATCAAAAAATTCAGGACTTTATTTTCTGAATATTTAAAATGTTCTGTTTCTTAAATATTTAGCATTATTTAGTTATTTAAAGTTCAGGACTTTAATCTTTAAAGAGTCATTCACCTCCTAAACGTCTCTAGTTGTATTGTTTAACTTTATAGATTTGAACAAAACCCAATTTGTGTTTTTCAGATTTCTTCTAACTTTTCTTCTCCTAATGTTTGTCTTTAATCTCTAATTTATATTTCTTAATGTCCCTTATTGGCTGACTTGTGTCCCCCGGAGGCTCCTGATTGGCTGACGTGTCCCCTCTCCTGCTCCTGATTGGCTGAGAGGCTGGATGACATCACAGGATGCTCTCTCTCTCGTCTCCGAAGGTCACGGTGTCCGACGACACGCTGCAGACCTCGGGGGGGTCGCCGGGCCTCAGCCCCCGCCGCAGGTGAACCACCCGCACGTTCTCATTGGTGGGAGTGGGGCGGGGGGCGGAGCTTGGGGAGAGGATGACATCAGTGGAGGAGGAGGAGGAGGGGGGGGTGGGGTCAGTGGTGGTGAGTGGGCGGGGCCTAGAGTTGGAGTTGTTGTTGAGCGAGACGGAGTTCAGGTTGAAGGACCAGCTGTCCTCTGGGCTGGAGGCCATCAGGCTGCAGTCCTCGGAGCAGATGGACATCCGGACGTCTTGAAGAACGCCGGGAACGCCGCCCGGGACGCCGGGAATGCCGCCGCGCTTCCTGTCCTCCTCTAGCTCCGCCTCCTCGTCCTGCAGCGAGTGATTGGGCGAGCTCTCGTTGGAGCGGACGCCAGAATCAGACGAATCCTTTTTGTCCAGCGTGGCGTCGGACAGGAAGTCCTTCCCCTTCATCGCCGTGATCTTCTTCAACTCCTCGTCTTCTTCGATCTTCTTGTAGCTCCGCGCCCTCGCCCCCGCTGTGTGTTCGCTGTTCTTCTCGTCTTCCTCCCTGATGGGGTCCAGGTCTGGGTTGTTATTATCGGTGGTTGTTGTCGTGTGTTTTCCGGCTCCGGTCCTCTTCCCGAACGTGGCTCTGCGTCCCTCCGTCTCCTCCCTGCTCTCGGAGGAGGACAGGAATTGAACCGGCTGCGGCTGCACGGGTCGCTCCGCGCCGCTCAGCTCAGTCTGGGCCATCTGAGACACGTACTCGTCATAGGCGGAGCGGTACTCGTCCTGCTGACGATCCGTCAGGCGGGACACGTCCAGAGAGGAAGACTCCTGAGAGTTCAGAGAGGTGAGGCTGGCTGTACGGAGCGCCGCCTGGAGGAGAGGAGGAGGAGAGGAGAGGAGAGGAGAGGAGAGGAGGAGGAGAGGAGGAGGAGAGGAGAGG